CATTTCGTCGTCGCCGTCGGCTGCCGTCGTCGTCGAGCTCGTCGTCGTCGTCGTAATCGTCGCGCCCGTCCTCGTCGTCGACGTCGTCGTCGTCGCCGCCGTCGTCGTCGTGGCCGTGCTCATCGTCTTCGTCGTTGTCGTCGCCACCGTCGTCGTCGTCGTCGTCGTTATCGCCGTCATCGCCGTCGTCGTCGTCGTCGTCGTCGCCGTCGTGGTCGTCGTCGTCGACGTCGAGGTCGTCGTCGTCGTCGCTGTCGTCGTCGTCGTTGTCGTCGTCGTCGTCGTCGCTGGCGGCGCCGCCGCTGCGCCGGCGCCGGCGCCGGCGCCGGCGCCGTCGCCGGCCTGGAGGAACCGCGCCGGCGCCGGCCTGGGAGAGGGAGGGGGGCCGCCGCTGGCGCTGGCACGGGCCTCGGGGGGGGGTCGAACCCTTCCCCCTGGAGGGCGGGGGAGGGGGTTCGAACGCCCCCCCTCGGGCCCTTGAACGAGGGCGGGCGGGAGGGGCAGTTCCGGGCCCCGCTCCCTCCAAGCGCCCGCAGAACGCGCTCTTGCTGACAAGTCCCACAAAATGGCGATCGCGTGGCTGCATCTGTCCTCTCTTGGGGTCACTATGGATGGCGTCCGAGACGATGAACCAACCGACGTGGTCATCGAAACTGACCGTAGGCCTTAACCTCCAGTCATTGTGCACAAAGTGCTCCGAATGACCAAAAGGCCTCGGATGCCAGCTTCCAGGCGTGATGTCTCGACATAACCGACGCCGCCGAGTTCATTGCCGTCGCACTTACCGCTCTGAGTGGTGCTAGTGCTAGTGTTCGCAGCGCAAAGCGATCGGTGAGCGCCTGAGTGCTACCTGACGAACTAGAAGTGTCGTCTGGCGGCAACGGTGATTGCGCTGGCGTGGTCGGTTGTGCTGTTGCCGTCGGTGGCGCTGGTGCTGGCGGGGGCGCGCCGCCTCGTGGGCGCCTGATGTTGCCCCGTGGTTGCGTCGAGGCACTCTCGCTCCAGGCGCGCGCGGCGCCCGGGCTCTAGGCGCCGGCGCCGAAAACGACGCAGCCAGGCAGGCTTCCTCGCTGTGGCGGCGACGGCGGCAGCCGCGGGGGCCGAGGCCTTCCTGAGGATGAGCCTCGCAAAAGGGCCCCACTTGCCGCGGGGCGCCGCCTCCTCTCGCATCGCATTGGGTTGCGCTTCCAGTGGCGCCGCCGGCTCCGAGCGGTTGGCGGCCTTCTCGACGTTCCCCGCCCTCGACGCGACGCTGGAAGGTCGCCGCGGCGGGCTGCCCCCAGCGATCGCCAGCGAGTCTTGAAATCAATATTGCGAACCGCTGTGCGCCGGGGCCCGGGTGCCTGCGAGCGGCCCCTGGGCGCCGCCTCCTCTGGCCGCGCGGTCTGCCCGCGGCCCGCGTCGCCGCCGCTGGTTCGCCTCTGAGCGCTACTGGCTGGGGTTGGGGACCCGCTGGGCGAAGGCTTAGGCCCTTGCGCCTGGCAGCAGCCGCGACCTGGATCCCACGCAGGGCGAAAAGGATACTTCAGGACGGACGCCAATCCTAGGCGGCGGCCCTGCAGGGGCTGGGCGCCGCGCCTGGCCCGGCAGCTCGGTCGTGGAATTTTGCCGGGGGCCCGCGCCCGAGCTGGCGCAGTCGTCTCGCCGGCGCTTCTCCGTCCGCGCGACGGCGGCGGCCCCGGGAGAAGCCGCTGCCCGTCTGAATGAGCTCCGCGTTGATCTCCACCTCGGACAAGGGCAACGAAATAAGGTCGCCCGGCTTCCACGGAGCGAGCCCCGAAGCCGCGGGCCGCGGCCTTCGGCCGCCGCCGATTCGCGGCGCGGGGGCCGCAGGGCCGACGCGCGCCGCGCGCGGCTGCGAGGTCGCGGCATTCAGCGCGACCTCGGGCAATCGAAGGGGCGACGAAGTCCCCCCGCGCCTCTAACTGCGCGCCCGCGCGCGCCCTGGCAGGAAGGGCCGCTTCCAGCGGCGGGGCGCCCCTCGCGCTGGCGCCCAGGATCATCGCGAACTGGCGACTCGCCGCCGCGGCGAGATGCCGTCGCCGAGGAGGGCCCCCGCCGGGGGCGCGGCGTTGGCCGCCGCTGCCAGAAGGCGCGCCGGCGCGGCAGATCTGCGGGTCGACCGGGCGCCCGGCGTCGTCTGCGGGGCCATGGCCGGCAATGAAAACGCGGCGTTGTCGCTGTCAATGCTACGTTCGTTCTCATCGGCGCCCTCTCGGGGCGCCGTCAGTCGAGGCCGCGCCGGGCGCGGGCCTAGGCTGGCCCCCGAGCGGGGGCGCCCGTGGTTCAGGCCCGCCCCGAAGCGGCGGCGTCTGTGATTTCGCCTCGTCGTCTGGGGGCGTCGGTGGAGTCGGAGCGTCGCGCGGTCTCGGAGTAGGCCAATTTCCCGGCGAAGCTCGCGGCCTTTGTGGACATCGCCCTGCGTCGCACGTCAACGGAAATCCTCTGCGCCTCCTGCCGGCGCCCACAAGGAAACGCCAGTGGCGAATGGCTGCTTCCTCATCCTCCTTCGAGCTCGCCGCCTCCATGGAGAGCCCGATAAGGCTATTATCGTCGCCGTCGTCGCTGCTCAGCGCCGGCGCGGGGCCCTGCTCAACGGCCTCGCTGCGTCCTCGCCAAGACTCGAAGGTGATGTCGCGAGGAGTCGCGTGGCAAGCGTTTTCCCCGCCTGGGCCCCGTGGGACATGGATCGCGTTTCCGCGCTGAGTATTCGCCGTGTCGATCCTCCTGCCTAGGAAGGAACGACTCGTCGTCGGAGTCGTCGAACATGCTGTTCTGCCCATTGCAGCCGAACGCCCGCTTCTGAGAAAAGGTCATCTCGATATCGTCGATCGCTGGGTGGTGGGGGGATTCGGCCAACATGCCAGGAGCGTAAAACGCTGGCTCGTCGATGCCAACAACGAGGCTGCAGCGCGCGAGTGATGGGAGCTTTAATATCTGAGAACCTTCGAGCGACAAACATTCGATGGTGTCGTCGCTGCTGAGCACATCTGAGCGTCGGTGTCGGGGCCCTTCCCCTCGCCATTCATATTCGGGCCATGTCTGAAAATATGCTAACCACTACAACAATTATTGCACTTGAGAGTCGGTCCATCATTGCCCCTGGGATCTTCCTCTTCTGTGCACGACGGGGGTCTAACCTTTTCAGACGTCCAACGACCTTTGCCGTTGCCTTTGGCTTTGCCTCCAGAGAAAATCTCGTCACGCTGTTAGGCGTCTCCACCCTCGCTTGTTTTTCTTTACCTTCGATCATGCTCCTGCTGTTCCGTCTCGCCCGTCGCGTGATCTTTCGCGTGCGTAACTTATTCAAACTCCGCGTTGTTTGTTGCATTATCCAGAATCGATGTTCTGCCCTCGGTTCGTAATTCGCCATTTTCTGAATATCCGTCCAGTCTAACGTTTCGGTACCATTTGATGGGATGGCGTCGTTTCTCGCACCTGGATCATAGCCGGCATTGGAAGCAAGGGAGTGGCTGATGGGGTTTTCTTTGCCCCGCAGCGCAGTGGAGCATTGAAGGGTTGCTGGGGTTCGCGTCGCATTCCAGGTGAACGGGTCGGAATTAAAATTGCCTGCCTGGGGCAGGACCCACATGGCAACACATTCTCTTTCATCTGCCCAGAAAAGTTGAATTCGCCCGTTTCCAAACTCTGACGTGTCGCTCGTGTGCGCATGATGTACAGCACTGCTACCACCACCTCCTGTTCGCCTCCCCTATACATCGTGCCGAGGCTCTCTGGCGATCTGTCTGGAAAATGTCCTACGGACTGCATGCGTTCCAGAGGTGGTTCATAATCCACCTTACCGCGTGGCATTTCATGGTTTAGTGAGTGAAACAACTGCAGGGCGCGTTGGGTGCCTACGCCAAAAGCGCGGGCAAATACTGTTGTCAGGACTTGGAAGTTGGAAGTGTCAAGTTCAGCTGGTTGAAACTCCATCGGGGCCGTCTCGGGCCTGGCGAGGATTCTATCGATTCGTCCGTGGCTGGGCACGTTGAAGTCGATGGGTTGAGTGCCTGAAATGCGCTGGCGCTCATCTTCAAAATGCTCAAACTTCATGTTCAAGATGAGCATCATGTGCGTTACGGGTCGGTGTGTGTGCCACGTATACTCACACCGAGATGTATGATGTGAGGTGGTATGCGCAAGGCGAACTTCCTCGCAAGGCACCTAGCCCTCGACGGGGGGCTGTTGCCTGATGTTGCGGGGTCATGCGCGAGCCAATAAGAACCAGCTGGTTGGAAGACCTTTAACATGGTGACGGTCGCATGAACCTCTCGTGTAATTATGCTCTTGTGGTTAGCACTCGCTTTCGAGCTGGTTGCGAACATGTCCACACAATTGCGGATGGAGTCCGGGCTCAAGGTTGCAGAAGGCAACGGGAGGACCCTGCTGAGGAGTAGTATACGGAGAAGGGACAAGCACACGAGAATGAGGCCAACTCCGCTACCAAATCGAAAGCTGCATGGTTACGTCATATCGTACACCGCAGCCATATGCAGAAGTAGTATGAGATGTGATGTAAAGGATTGGGTAAAAAAGGGGCGGAGCTTTTTCTTCTCAGGGACGCCTGTTTCTGGGCGCCGACCCAGAGGGTGTGCGCCTGTTGAGCCACATTCAGCAGAGGAGCGCGCTGCATGTCCCCTGGCGCCTCCCCTTGACGCGTTTGGAGAACTACTCGGAACTTCATACCTCCTCCTCCTCCTCCTCCTCCTCCTCCTCCTTCTTCTCGTCCTCCCCCCTTTGAAACATCGATCGCGTACCAGAACAGCTGAGGGCTCCAAAGATCGCAGCGTACATTGTCAATGCCAGGATGGGGGTAATGAGGCTCCAAATCGCGCCGCATCGCCGCTTGCGCCGGCGAGGCGGTGCCAGCCGGGGTCCCCGTTCACTCAGAACCAGTCCGCGAGGCCTGGCTCCCCCCTCTCCACCCGCCGCCCGTTCCGCTGCCGCCTTCCCTGGACGGCCCCCCCTGCCAGCACGGGCCGGGATGCGGCGGCGGCCTTCGCATCGGCGGCCGCCTTATGAGGGGCGACGATAAAAAAGGAGTGGTTCACTGAGGGGGGGCATCGGCCTGGAGTCGGCAACGCGTCGCCGATTGACCGGCGATGGGCCCGCGACATCGAAACCACACGCTCTTGGGCGGAGGGTGGGTCATCGGGCCCTCTATCGGCGACGAATGGGCGACTCCAGGCCGATGCGTCCCCCCAACGTTGCACATAGTTTTCGGGTCATGCCTCGGCTCTCCTGCGGCTGTTCGTGACGATCCCGGCGCCCCCGGAACGCCCTCGACGAGGCGCAACTGATTGACACCGCCCCGGGCATCGAAAACAATCGACAACACAACGTAAAGAACAGTCGAGAACTCCCTCCTGCAGCCTGTCCCTCCTTCGTGTTGGCCCGTGCCTTCGCGTCGGCGGCGGCCTTCGCCTCGGCGGCGGCCGCCTTCGCCGCGGCGGCGGCCTTCGCAGCGGCGGCCGCCTTTTCCTCCGCGGCCCTTTCGGCCTCCTCGGCGGCCTGGCGCCGGGAAAACAACGAGCAAGAAAATCAGCTCGTCGTCGTCGTCGTCGTCGTCGTCTTCCTCCTCCTCTTCCTTCACCTCCCCCCCTCCTCCTCCTCCTCCTCCTCCTCCTCCTCCTCCTCCCTTTCCTCCTCCTCCTCCTCCTCCTCCTCCTCCTCCTCCTCCTCCTCCTCCTCCTCCTCCCTTTCCTCCTCCTCCTCCTCCTCCTCCTCCTCCATCTCCTCGATGTCATCCTCATGTTCCGTGCGGCCTTGATCCTCACTCCGTAGCCTGACTCCTTGTTTGTGTATAGCCCTACTCTGCTACCTGGCCTGGCGATGGCAACCGGATCCCGGGGGGGCCCATCCGACTTCCCAGAAAAAACCATGCGTCGTTCGTCTCAACATGGGCGTTCGGTCGTCAACGTTGCAAAATGAGTGGCGGGAAAGTGGAAACGGCGCCCATCCCGCGCGAAAGGCCGTTGGTCCGCCTCGGCGACGCGTTTCTGCTTCTTTTTTTCTAGAGGGCGCGGCGCACCTTTTTCCGACACGACTTCGTCGACGCGCGAGCGGGCGAAAATGCAGTTGTCGCCTCGGCGCCGCGAAGATTCCGCCTGAAAGTGGTATTCCTGCCCTGGTGCGCCGCATGCATATTTTCACTCGTCAGATTAAGGAGGCCCGCGCGAGTGGACCACTTGTCTCCCTCGCCTTCGCTCCGTGAGCGTGCTGCTCGGAAGTGGCGTTCACTCGCGGGCGCGACGCGTGGGTCGTTCGCCGAATCGTTTGAAAACGACAGCGGCAGCAGCGGGGCCGCGCCAGAGCGCGCGAAATGCCGACCGCGCCCACGCGCCGCGCAGCTTGACAGTGAGAGTGGCAGTGCTGTGTCACCGCGGCACATGCTTCGTCTTCGCCGCGCCCATCGGACGTTTTGCCGCTCCCGCCCCTGCGCGGCCCGCGTAGGTCTCATGTTCGCCAAGTTGTCGGGAAGGGGGCCGCGCGGGAGCGCCTTTCGCTTGCGAGGTGGGAATGCGCTCCAATGCGACGATCAACTTCTGCCACAACTGCTTGTTATGTTGTGGGTGGGAGGAGGGCGAGAATATAAACAATGAAAACGGAGACCCAACCCATCTTTAACACAATGTGGAACTCATTTGGGCAAATATGTCTCGATCCGCCCCCATCGCGTGGAACACGCGGGCAATGCCCCCGCGCAAACCGCGCATTCACCCGTGGCTGCGAAAGCGCGTGAAGCTGTAAACTATTTCCGCGCAGTTCACTCACCGACTAGTAATGGGTGAGTGAACTGCGCAGTACTCGGCGCGGTGAGTAAGGGGCACATAGGTAATCGGCGATTGCCTGTTTGCCCCCTCGCTGGTTGAACCCACTGCCAGTGTGGCCGTGCGCCCTACCTCGGCGACGAGGTACCCAGATCCCGCAGCAGCGACCGGTTGAAGACGGATCTCAACTTTTGCATATAGATGTATACATACATACATATGAACAGGACCAAAACAAACAACGCACAGTCGGTATTAACGAATGATATCGGAGGCCCCGTCCCCGTTTAGAGCAATTTGGAGCTCATTGGGGAAGATATGCCCCGATCCGCCCCCTCGCGTGCAACACGCCTGCAATGGCCCCGCGCAGACCGCGCATTCACTCCTGGCTGCGGAAGCGCGTGTAGCTTGCAACTTTCTGCGCGCAGTTCACTCACCGATTGCGTGTGTGCCTCCTCCACGGTTGAACCCCCTGCTGGTGTGGCCGTGCGCCTTCCCGCGGCGACGAGGTCCCCAGACCCCACGGCGGTGGCGAATTGAAGACGGCCCTCTCTAATAAACAAAGATACAACAAAAAAGAAAAGACATTCATTAAACATCGTGGATCGTTATTGAATAATCACGAGTACGTTACTTTACCAGCACGAATTTCAATGAAAAATATGCGCAGAAACGGCGAATAGTAAATATTAGTAGTGCTTCCAACTTTTGTTTGTTGTTTCTCCCGGCCCGCTGTTCATTCAGAGGAAAAGGTTCGTCGACCCTCCGCCGCGTGGCCCTGAAAGAGGAATGCGCGCAACGGCCGTCATTCTATCCAACGCCCAATGTGGTCGAACTGCAACGAGGCCCACTCGCAACACCACTTGGGTTTTGCGAGAGATAACCAGAAACGGACAAACAAACACGAGGTGTACCGCCTCTGACTCAAGAGACGACCTGAACATCAATGGGGCGAGATAGTTCTAAACTCTCGAGGGCGGGGCCTGGGCCTCGGATTCGACTGGTGAAGTATAATGGCGGGTACATGTCTATGCATAGTGACGAGAAGTGTCTACACCAGCGAATATGTATTACATGTCCGTCTCCGGACAACAAGGACGTAACCACATGTACGTATGTGATTTATGTATGTATACGAGAAAACGTGATCCACCGCCATGTGGGAAATTTCCCCCCCCGCCTGCTCGAATCCCTCCCCCCCCTCCACCCGAAAAGCCCCCCCCCACCACCCCCCCTTCCGGAAAACTGGGGGGGGTCACTTCCGGTTCGATATCCCCCTCCCCTGCCCCACGGGGGTCACTACCGGTTCGACCTCCCCCCCGCCCCACCCGGAAAACCGGGGGGGTCACTACTGGTTCGATACCCCCCCACCACTCGCCGCCGGCAAACGACCCCCGGGTCCCCACCACCGTCCTCACCACCACCCTCACCACTGTCCCATCACCACCACCGTCCCCACCACTGTCCCACTGTCCCCGCTGTCCCCACCACTGTCCCACTGTCCCCACTGTTCCCACCACTGTCCTCACTCTCCCCACCAGTGCCCCCACCACTGTCGCACTGTCCCCACTGTTCCCACCACTGGCCCCACCACGGTCCCACTCTCCCCACTGTCCCCACCACTGTCCCACTGTCCCCACTTTCCCCGCCGCTGCCCCAGTGTGCCGTCCCACTGTCCCCACTGTCCCCACTGTTCCCACCACTGTCCCCACTGTACCACGGTCCCACCCTCCTCACCACCGCCCTCACCATTGTCCCCACCACCACTGTCCCCACGTCCCCACCACTGTCCCGCTGTCCCCACTGTCCCCTCGCCACTGTCCCCACCACCACCGTCCCTACCACTGTCCCACTGTCCCCAGTGTCCCCACCACTGTCCCACTGTCCCCAGTGTTCCAACCAGTCCCCACTGTCCCAACAAGTGCCCCCACCACTGTCACACTGCCCCCGGTCCCCACCACCAGCACCACCCCCACTTTCCCCACTGTCTCCACTGTCCCCGCCACTGTCCCGCTGTCCCCACGCCCCACCACCACCCCCACCACCGTCCCCGCCAGAGTCCCCCATCCGGAGTGGGGGAGGACGGGGGAGTCGTCTGCCGGCGGCGAGGATGGGGGGTGGGGGGTTCGAACCGGTAACCCCCGCCCCTTTCCATGATGGACCGGGGGGGGGGGGAGGTTGGAACCCAGTGACCTCCCCGGTTTTCGAGAGGGGTGGGGGGGGCGGGTTGGAACCCCCCAGAGGTACCATCCTTGAGATGGAGCCCCCGGCGAAGAAGAATCTGCCCGCTGATGGCCTTGCAACACAGGCAGACGAGGAACACAGTGGGCAGCGGCGGCTGTACACACCGCTGCCCCTGGTCCTCTCGTCCAGGCTTCGGCCGGGGGAGTCCCACCGAGCCCAGGCACCAAAAGGAGGCGGCCACCTGAGCAACAGTCACCGCAGGGGAACCACATCCGCACGGCCGTGTACCAGGAGGGCGAGGACAGCACGAGGCAGTGAAAAGGACGGCCAGCAGCAACCTGCACGCCGAAACTCCAAGGCCCGAGTTCCAGGGCTGGCAGCGTGACCAGCATCGGCGGGCGAGGCGCAACCTTGAGATCATTGTCGAGCTTCTTCTCCAGTCTAGCAATCTCCTTGTGGGCGTTGTCCGCTCGCTCCTCCGGCGGTACAGACGACGCCTTGAGCTTCTCGAGCTCCTTCTGGGCCTCACCCAACATCTCCTGGTTCCCCGTCCTCCCGCACAGCTGCACCAGCTGCTCGAGCTCCGTCTTACTGGGCGCGGGGGCAGGCGACGTAGCAGGCGTGGTGGACGATTGACCAGCAGCGACTCCAGCAGCGGTGCGCCGAAGAGCTCCAGGGTCCCCGCGGGCCTTCCTGTCGGTGGCGGGGGCAGACTCGGCAGGAGCGTTCCACAACTTCTTGCAATGCTTGCAGTCCTGGTAGAAAGATTCGTTCTCCTTGCATCCGCAATGACGGCATGTCCAGCGAAGGCCGCGAACGTTGTCGCCACCACCGCCGCCACGAGTGCCGCTCATCGCAGGTGCGCCATATTGAGTGACCGTGCCAAAAAGGCCCGCTGTCACCCAGCCGTTTTGAAGTGTCGGTGACAGCAAGCTCAAAATAATTGAGCCAAAAGGGCTTGAGCCAAAATGGCTTGAGCCAACATGGCTACGGAGGAGGAGGAGTAGGAGGAGGAGGAGGAGGAGTCGCAACGCTCCGGCGAGGGGATCCCGGGCGCCCGGGAGAGCACGAGGCGGGGCGCGCCCTCCCGAGCGCACCGCCGCGCCCCAGAGCGTCGACGTGCCGGCGTCTCGGGCCCGGCCGCCCCGATGCGCAACGCGCAGCCCGTAGCGTGTTGGCACCGAGCTCAACACGCAGACTGGAAGCGTGCGTTCGGCGCCGACGTGGGCCAGCACGTCGGGCCGCCGCGCCGCTTGTCCTCGCCGCGCCCGAGTGGACGGCGCCGACGCCACGGCAAACCCACGGCAAGCCCTGCGCCCCGCGCCCGAGTGGACGACGCCGGCACCGCGGCAGACCCCACGGCGAGACCACCGCGCCCGAGGCGGAGTTTGCACCGGTGGCCGAGGGGCCCTCCCCAGGACGCAAGGCCGCGCGTCGGACCAGACGGCGCGGCGACAGGTGCCGAGCCAACGCGCAAGGGGTTTCATATTGCGTTCCGGCACGGGCGTATCGGGGCAGCTGAGGTCTTGAGCTCCCGTCTGGGATCGGCGCGGCCCTCACTGCGCAGCGACCGGCGCGCCTGGAGGACCCGGTGCGACATGCTCTGCGGCCCTTGTCCTGCGTGCGGTGCTGGAGTGGCTGCCAGCTGCCGCGCTGCTCTGGCTGCGCGGGGTTTGGCGGTCAGCAATAAAGATGCGCCGCGCCCAAGTGGGAGCGGAGCTATCAGGAAGAAGAGCGAGGGAGGAGGCAAAAGGAGGAGGGGGAGGAGACGGATGATGACAGAAAATGCGGATGAGGATGGATGATGCGGGCGATAAGGGAGGAGGATCAAGGAAAGGGGGAGGAGGAGGAGGTTACGTCGCAGCTCCAACCATGGTTACGTGGTTCCAATGCCACCAGTGCCCAGTGCCAAGGAGGAGGGGGAGGAGGACTAGCATGGAGGAGTGTGTATCAGGAGGAGGGCATATGCGGAGGAGGGGGAGGAGGACAGGGATAAGGACATGCAACACCAAAAGGGAGCTTAAGGCTCGCGCCATGACATCCACGGACTGCTCCAGGAACGAGCTATGAGCATCACTAGTTTCGAGCTCCACTGGCCGGAGGGTGAGGAACAGGAGGAAGAGGAAGACGAGGAAGCAAGGAGGGGGAGGAGGAACAATAGTACCAAGAGGAGGGGGAGCAGGAGGAAGCTTCGCTCGGGAGCGGGGACAACATGCACGGCCGCCTTGGCAGCCTCGGCCTCCACGGCCTTGACGTGGTCACTCTGCGTGTCTGCGCTCTGCGCTTGCCTCGGCTGGGGGAGGTTACCCGAACGACTCTGGAACTGATGCTGCAAAATGCAGTCCGATACTTCTGCTCAGCGTGTCGCGGCGGCGGCCCCCGCGAAACGATATACCCTCGGCGAGGGTCAGCTGCTGCAGAGAATCCGGGGGCTGGAAAACCGCCGAGGACCGACGAGGCCGTCCGAAAACGTCCTCCTCCTCCTGCTCCTCCTCCTCCTCCTGCTCCTCCTCCTCCTCCTCCTGCTCCTCCTCCTCCTCATCCTCCTCCTTCTCCGCCTCCCACTTCATCCTCCCTCCTCTTCCCCATTGCCTTCTTCTCCCCTCCCCCTCCTCTTCCTTCCCGACCTCTCTTGCCAGCCCGCCAGCAGGCCACCAAAAGCAGCGCGGGGCCGAGGCGACGAGCGCGCGCGCGCGCCACTCAGAGCGCGTACGGCTCCTCGGCCGCGCGAGCGGCGGGTATTCCGTCGGCCTCTTTGCCCAGCACTGGGCGAGGAGGGAGGTGGAAAAAGAGGAAGGAGGGGAAGAGGGACGATGAAGGAAAACGAGGTGAAGGAGGAGAAAGAACGAAGAGGAGGAGGAGGAGGTGGAAGAGGAGAAGGAGGAGGAGGAGGAGGAGGAGAGGAGGAGGAGGAGGAGAAAGGAGGAGGAGGAAGGAGGAGGAGGAGGAAGAGTGGGGGGGAAGGGGAGACGATGGAGGAGGAGGAGCAGGGAAATGATGTTGTTGAGGTTGATGTTGAAGTTGAAGCTGCTGTGGATGTTGATGGTGATGTTGATGATGCTGATGATGCTGCTGCTGCTTATGCTTATGCTGATGGTGCTGGAGGAGCGGAGGAAGAAGAGGAGGAGAGGAGGAGGAGGAGGAGGAGGAGGAGGAGGAGGAGGAGGAGCAGGAGGAGGAAGAAAAGGAGGAGGAGGAGGAGAGAGGAGGAGGAGGAGGAGGAGGAGGAGGAGGAGGAGGAGGGAGGAGGGGAAGAGAGGTTGGAGGTGGGTCGAGGAGGAGGAGTGGGGAGGAGGAGGAAAGGAGAGAAGGTGGGAGGCGGGTTCTCCGCCGGCCTCGGACCACCACTGGATGATGTTGCCGAACTTCGCCGGATCGCACCTGCGAGGCCCTTGTCCCCATTGCCCCCCCTCCCTTTTTTTCATCCACCTCCTCCTTCCCCTCCTCTTCCTCCTTATGTCGGCGTCGTCGTTCTCCTCCTCCTCCTCCTCCTCCACCTCCTCCTCCTCCTCCTCCTCCTCCTCCTCCTTCTCCTCCTGCTCCTCCTCATCCCCCCGCCCCCTCTCAAGCACATATGGCTCGAGGCTTCTCCGTACCCATTTGGGCTCTGGGCAGTTTCGACGTCGCATTCCACGCAACCGCGTGGCGCTTGGGGGACGCCCAGGCTGCCCCACCGTGAGTGCAGCTTTTCTGGGCGGCGACGTGGGACGCATCGTAAAAACAGCAGCGGTCTACCTGAAGCTCTCTGGCCTCCGGCAGGTCCTGGTGCCCTTTCAGCCGCTCGTCTTCGTGCACCTGGCCGCCTCGACGGGGCTGGCTCACGTGTTCGGCCTGGGCACGGTCTGCCTCGGCTTCTGGCTGCGCTGGCGTTCCTGTCGCGAGGATGTGCCGGTGCTGTGCGCGGCCCGTCGGCGCGCCTTCTGCTGCCGTGTCGCAGTGGGCCCGCGCACCAAAAGCAAGGAAATGGTTGCCACGTAAAGGCTGGTCGCACGGCTTTTCGGCGCGATGCCAGGTTCAGTGCCGCAGTGGGCCACTGCCTCGTGGGCTGCTCGGATTGGGGGGCGGGTTTCAAACCTCTCGGCCTCTACGCCAATGATTGGATCGGCATGGGCGAAAAAGGCGTGCAATGGAATCTACTTCTGTCGGTGCGTAGCTCGCGGTGGGAGGCGAAGCTGGCCCCGACCGTTACCAGTTACATCACTGGGGTCAAAACGTGCGAGAAGGCAGACAACGGTGCGCAGTGGCAGCTATCAGTACCGGTGCGATGTTCAGCGACGGCGGTCCGTCGGCGCGTTTTCTCCTGCAGTGCCACAGTGGACCAGCTGAGATACGTGCTTGGGTCAAGGCTGGCTTTTTTCTCCTAGGTGCGATGTGGTTCAGGCCTGTCACACTTTGGTATGATTGGGTCAAACACGTTCTGGCATGGTGTTCGGTTGGCAGCGAGCTGGCGTCAGTATTTACCGTCCGTATGTTTCAATCAATTCAGTATTGTCAGGCATAGTGCCTGGGCTCGCTATTTTCGCTATGCCGCTCGTTGGGTGCAGGAGGGAAGAAACTACACATGTGTTGCTGTCTTGCAAAGTTGTTAGTGGAGGAGGCGATCTGGATGACACACGTGAAAGGTTGCCCAATTATCTGAGGTGCAAATCATAATGGGGCCGAGTCGAACCGAGCTCATGTCAGCCAAGCTTGTTACGTTATCATTGTGTGGCGAGGCATCCATTTGAGGTATGTGCGTGGTGCTCGTCTTCCTCAACCTCTGGCCATGTACCCGCGATCTGGCCTGTCTTCTGGTTCGGCTCCTTCGTGGGTGAGCTCACGGGGCGGCCTCTTGGGTGTTGAGTCATGTCGCACCGCGATGGGGCCCATTCCATTCCATTCCATTCCATTCCATCCCATTCCATTCCATTCCTCCTCCTCCTCCTCCACCTCCTGCGCAGGCGGCGGGTCTGTCTCGACGCCCGCGCGCGCCCGCACTGCGCACCTCCGAAACCACGACGATGGGCCGGAGCACCGCGACCTCGCCCTGGGGCGCCCCCGCCGGCGCGCCTAGCGCGCCAGCTCCTCCGCCAGCGCCGCGGCCGAGGCCCGCGCGGCCTCGCGCCCGAGCGCGGTGCGGAGCTGGCGCGCTGTGGCGCGGTGCAGCGCCGTGCTGAGCTCCGCGCCCCAGCGAGCGGCGAGCGCGCTGGCCGCGGCGTCCGCCTCCGGCCCGTCGCCCAGCAGTTGGGCCCGCAAGTGCGCCAGCCAGCGCAGGTGTTTCAGCGCCGCCGGCCCGTGCCGTCCGGCGGTCTCCAGAGAGAGCGGCAACACCCTCCAGGGCGCGCGGCCGGTGGGGTAGCGAGCCCTCTTGTTGCTTTCTCCCTCCCGCGCCACGGCGCCGCCCGCGCCCGCCGCCGCCGCCAAGGCGCGGGCCTCGCCCGACACGGTGTAGCGGACAGTGACATCCGCTAGCAGCTGCGGGCAGCCGGCCCGCTGCGCCTGCAGGTCGAGCAGGGCCTCTTCGCGGCGAGTCTCCAGTGCGGCCCCGCAGGCCTGGCAAGGCCCTGCAGGCGGGGCGTCGGCGTGGCCGCGCGCCGCGCAGCCGGGCGCCGTGCACATCCAGTGCCAGCGGTCCCAAGCCAGGACGTGGACCTGGCGCGCTGTCCTTCTCCTATTCCTCCCCCTCCTTCTTCTCCGCCTCCTCCTCTTGCTCCTCCTCCTTTCCTCCTCCTCCTCCTCTTCCTCCTCCTCCTCCTCCTCCTCCTCCTCCTCCTCCTCCCTCCTCCTCCTCCTCCTCCTCCTCCTCCTCCTCCTCCTCCTCCTGCTTTTCTTCCTCGTCGTCCTCTTTTTTTTCCTCCCCCTCCTCCTCCTTTCCCCCCCTCGGCGGGGGGGCAGTTACTGCTCTACTGGGCGCCGTATCCTGGCGCTCGGCCCTACGCAGCGGGGACATTGACAATGCCATTCGCGCGTCATGTCTTGGCGTCAGCATGCCGGCGCGTCTTTTTGGGCAACTCAGCCCGGGGCCGTGGCGCTCAGCTACTCCCGTGACGCTCGAGCCACCTTGAGCTTCCAGGCGCGGGGATCGTGCGTTTGGTCGAATGGAGGGGCCGTGTGGTCCACCAGTCCTATGAAGCCTTCGTGCCTATTCGCCCTGGGCTGCCAACGCAGTTGCACGTTTCATGTGTTGTGGCAGGGGCTGATAGTCGGGAAGGACTTCGTACTGCCCTACGCACCACCGCCCTCACGTATGAGTAGCGAGTCGCGGGGTGACAAGGCGTTGACCTGTACCTTGACCGTGTTGCGTGAACTCCTCGCCGATGAGCGAGCGGCCTCCCCTACGCGTGAGGAGGGAGGTCTCCCCGTGTGGGGGCGGAGGGCGGCCCGCTTTGCGATGAGGCAGAAATCTCATGTGAGGCAGTCCTCTCGCGCGGGTTCGCTTCTCCATTCTCCATGGCCCCATGGCCTCCTCCTCCTCCTCTTCCCTTTCCTCCCTTTGAGACATGTCCCCATCTTCCGCCTCATCCTCCTCCTCCTCCTCTTCCTCCTCCTCCTCCTCCTTCTCCTTCTCCCAGCCTGGCCTGTAACGCGGTTGCAGAGCGCAGCAGTCCGATTCCATCGTCAGATGCGTAGCTGCCCAACGCAAGCTCCGAATGTGATGCATGACGAAGTGGCCAGAAGCTAGTCGGCCTGCTTTTCTGACAATGGTCCACGGACTTGCTCTGTTCTGGTACGTTCCCCTTCCTCCTCCTCCTCCTCCTCCTCCTCCTCATCCTCCTCCTTCTCCTCCGGAGCGTTCTCCGCCATCGTGCCCCCTGGCACGTTGAGGCGTCGAAGAATGCCAAGGTCTGTCTGGTAGGGTTTCCTGCCTTCCAATACGGGGTCCTCCCCCTCCCCATTCGCAGACTGCTGCGTGCACCGCCCCTCCTGAACGATGCTAACTTCCCTCGTGCCCGCTCGAGGCCGGCACTCGCAGTATGGCAGCTAATGCCTAAACCCAAATTGCACGCGTGCTCGCTCGAGGATGGTGCATTCCCCGCGCACGGCAGCAACTGCCTGAACCCTCATTCCATGCGCGCCCGCTGGAGGATTCTGCATTTCCCGCATGGCAGCTAATGCCTGAGCATTCCATGCGCGCCCGCTTGAGAATCGTGCACTTCCCGCATTCCCAGGCGCTGCTCCCGAGCGCTCCAGGGCCTCCCACGCAACGATCCGTGGTCAATGCAACGACGGATATGCGTCCCGAGCTTCCAAGACGGCCCGTCCAGGCAACCAAGGACATAAAGGCGCCCAGGATGCCTCGTAGACGGCCCAAGGTGACCCCAAGGCGGCCGAATATTGGTTCAAGATGGCCCAAGAAGCTTCCAAGAGGGCCCGAAAGGGCCACAAGAAGACCTCAATCAGAGTCCGAAGAAGCCCAAACCATAGATTTCCATTGGGTTTGGGATAATGTCGCGTTCTCGCCTTTTCGGGCTGCCGTCACCTTAAGACGGCGCAAGAGGACTCCACTATGGCCCAAGAGGCATCCAAGACGGCCCCAAGACGGTCCGAGAGGGCCTCCCGTGGGACCCAAGACGGCCTGAAGAGGCTTTTCGACGGCCCAAGACGGCGTCAAGACGGCCGCCAGACACCCACCATACTGCCAAGAAGGTCCCAAGACGGCCGGAGAGAGCCCCAAGCAGGCGTAAGAGGGCCCAAAGATGGCCCAAGAGGGCCCCAAAGAACCCCCAAGACTGCCCCAAGACGGCCCAAACGAGCTCCGTCATCATCATCATCATCATCATCATCATCATCATCATCATCATCATCATCGTCATCATCATCATCATCATCATCATCATCATCATCATCAGCATCAGCATCAGCATCAGCATCATCATCATCACCATCAGCAGCAGCAGCATCATCATTATCATGAACACCATCATGATCAACAGCAGCAGCAATGTCACAATCATCATCATAACCATAATCATCCTCCTCATCATCAGCATCATCATCCTCATCATCCTCATCATCATCAGCACCACCATCATCATCATCGTCATCATCATCATCATCATCGTCAACGTCATCGTCATCAGCACCATCATCATCATCAGCACCATCATGATCATCCTCATCATCCTCATCATCATCATCAGCACCACCATCATCATCATCATCGTCATCACCATCATCGTCATCGTCATCGTCATCAGCACCATCATCATCATCAGCATCATCACAATTTCTTCGAAGCAAATGACCGCCTGGACCTCAAACCATGCAGTGCACGGCAGCGAAGTTGCGCTACAGCGTGAGACAGAGGATAACATGAAAGCCGCCTGAATGCAGAGTCGACGTTTCCAGCCGAACCAAATCATCATCATCAGCAGCAGCATCATCATCAGCATCAACATCATCATCAACATCATCAACATCGTCGTCATCGTCATCGTCATCGTCACCGGCACTATCACCATCACCACAACCATCACCATCATCACCATCATTGCCAGCATCATCATCATCATCACCATCCTCATCATCATCATCATCAGCAGGACAATCGGCATCATTACCATCATCATCGTTATCATCACCACCAACAAAATTCTCATTACCATCCTTATCAGCAGCATTAGCATCACAATCACCATCACCGTCATCACCATCACAGTAGTCATCATCAGAAGCAGCGTCCCCACTACAACCATCATTTTCATCATGATCAGCATGGTCATCATCATCATAATCAGTATCATCATTATCATCATCATTTTTAGCATCAGCAGCATCCTCATCATCACAACCAGCGTGATCGTCATCGTCGTCATCACCAGCATCAACATCAGCATCAGCTTCACCCTCACCATCATCATGACCATGACTATTACTACCATCCGCATGATGACCATGACCATGACCATGACCATGATCATGACGAGGATCATGACCATGATAATCACCAACATCCGCATCATCATCATCATCGCCATCATCACAATCATCAGCATCACCATCATCATCATCGTCATTACCATCATCATCAGCATCATCATCATCATCATCATCATCAGCATCAGCATCATCATCACCATCATCAACATTATCAACATCATCATCATCATCATCATCATCATCATCATCATCATCATCATCATCATCACCCCGATCATCCTCATGACCCCAATCGTCCCCATCGCGGCTCTCCCAAGCCTGGAGACACGAGGCGTCGTATATGAGGGTTCCCGTGCCAACTCGAACAGTCGCCACCTGGAATGGTGGGCTGGCACGGCGGCGGGACATGTCACAGGCAACTGGATATGCCCTGGGCCAGTCTGGGGGAGATTGCTGCAACCGCGACACCGACATGTGCGCGCATCAAACTGCGCGCGTGGAAACGCACATCGAACTGCGCGCATCAGACTGCCTCCTTATGCTCCTCTGCCTGCTGCCCCGCTTACCCCTTTCCCCCTCCGTCTCCTCCTCCCCCCCCTCCCCGCTTCTCCAAATGCCCGCCCGGGGCCCGCCAGGTCACCCCAAACCCTCCAGGAAAACCGACCCCCTCCTCCTTCACCCTCCCTCCTCACCCGCCTCTCTATGATGAGACATGCCGATGAATTACGAGTTGGTCGAGCGTGCATCTACATGACATTCGGCGACTGTGCTACGCAGCGGCTGCCCGCCGCCGCCGCGCGGCCTCCGCTATAACACGCCGAGACTGCACGGGGCAAGTGCCTAGAATCACACCATCGCCGGGTCGAAGGCGGGATGGCGCGGCTAATTTTCGGGTCGACTCGTCGGTCGCGACTAGAAATTTCCAGTATCCAATGATCTGGGTCTCGCTGTGAAATGCAGCACGGCGGGAGGTCTGGGGCAGTTTCCGGCCTCGAAGGCCCTCGCCGGGCCCTGGGAACCTCAACCAAACGCCTCGGGAGGAAAAGCCAGTCCCGGGGCAAGGGGTCGAGCCCCCTGGGGGTCCACGCTGTGAACAAGATCACCACGTCGGAGGTGGACCAGGGAGGGCCCCCCCCCCAGATTCGGCTACACGCGAGAGTGAGCCCGCGTGAGGGCGATCTTTGGTGCGCGGCTGTTGGGGGGCCGCGGGGGGACCAAGCTCAGGCGCGCAAGACACTACTCTCGCATCGCAATGGGTGATCGGGGGACCCCATTGCGCCCGCACCAAAGGTCACTCCGGCGAAAGGTCATTCTTACGTGTTTTGGACGCCCGAAATGGGTACGGAAAGAATTGGTACAGTGGCCAACCACAAATGTTGTCCCAAACCAACAGCGGCCGCTGTTTGGCAGGCGGTCTTCTGCCTCCAATCGACACGGGCCGCGGCGACGCCGACGGCGGGTCCAGCTCCGAATGGACAGGAACTGCTGTTGGGCGTTGTGCCCATTCTTTCCGTACCCATTTCGGGCGTCCAAACGTGAGGAGGATGAGGAGGAGGCGGAGGAGGAGGAGGAGGAGGGGGCGGAGGAGGAGGAGGAGGAGGACGAGGAGGAGGAGGAGGAGGAGGGCACGAAGCTCGGAGGAGGAGGAGGAGGAGGAGGAGGAGGACGAGGAGGAGGAGGAAAAGGACGAGGAGGAGGAGGGAGGGGACGGGCGTCCAAACGTGCAGTCGACAGATGACCCTCCTCGCCTGGGCCGGGTGCCACCTGCTCGGGCCTCCGGCGGCCGTCCAGGGCCGGCACCCCGGGCACCTCCGGAAACGCCCTTGGCAGGGCGCAGCTCCTGGAGCGCACCGCGCGGCGGGCAGACCCCTGGGAGCTGACGGACCCCCCCCCTCGAGGCTGAAGTCGGGCCTGCCCCCCTACAGGCCGATTTTGGAGGAAAAATTGACAATAACCCCAAACATGTAATGAAAATGCAAAACAAATTGTCAAACAATAGTCCCCAAACTATTTTTTGACTATTTTTGAATATTCCCCCTGTAGGAGAGGGACAGGCCCGACTTAACTCGAGGCCACCCCAGCCCTGCCGCTCTTCATGACTCCACCCCGCCCATCTCGGGTCGGACGAAAGGCGGGGGTCGCGCAGCAGCTCACGCAGCCCGTTTTCTGGCGCATGCCCGCGCCGGAAGCAACAATGTGAGAAGGAAGGCGCCGGGCCACAGGGCGGGAACCAGCTGCCTGGAGCAAATATCGTTCCCCCCCTGTCAATTTCCCTATTCCCCCCGGGTCCCGAAATGGTTCGGTGACAGACCGTGCGGTGACCTCGAACCCCTCAGAGACCCTTACCGCACGATCTTGGGACCTCGGAGGCCCCAGTCCCCCGAGACGCCCTCGGAGCACGACCCGGGTCCCGAAACCGTGCAGGCACCCCGAATCCCCACCGACTCACCGCATGGTGCGGTCACCGGGTCACCGCACTGTCTGGGGGCCCCCGACTCTAGTCGGACCCGCCCACCCGCCCGGGCACCTCTCGGGCCTCTCCTTCGGGTACCTGACCGGGACGGCGGTCCTGCGGGGGGCGGCGCGACGAGGGGGAGGAGGAGGAGGACATAGGAGGAGGGGGTTGAGGAGGAGGGGGGGGGAGTGGGGAGGGGGTTCTAGGTTTTGCCTGTCCGAGGCCGCCCATGTCGAGCTCGCCGTCAGAAGCCTCCGGGACGTCTGGGACCCTCCATGGGGCGTAGGGACAGACGCAGCCCCCAGAGTCGTCGTCTTCGTCGTCGTCGCCGCCGCCGCTGCCGCCGCCGTCGCCGTTGCTGTAGTCGTCGCCAATGATCTGGAGTAGAAGATTCAAGTTGCGCGTATGGTAGAGGATTATGCGTATACATATATGTGTACGTGTATAGATATAACAGCATACGTACCACCGCGCAGTTGCGGATAAAAGTGAAGGGGGCGGCGGGGACGGCGGCAGTCTGCGAGGCTCTGAAGAAGCTTGCTGCAGGCGCCTGATTTTCAAAAATTATACAACAAGCCCGCCGCAAGTTCGTTAAAACTAAATGGGTGTGTCGCGGGTGGGTCGCGGGTGCTCGCGGGTGGGTTGCGGGCCGGGTCGCGGGCCAGGTCGCGGGGTGGATCGCGGGTGGGTCGCGGGTGGGTCGCGGGCGGGTCGCGGGGTGTCGCGGGGGGTTCGCGGGTGGGTCGCGGGTGGGTCACGGGTGAGTCGCGAGTGGGTCGCGGGCGGGACGACGACAACAACAACAACGCAACGCAACAACAAGCAACATCCGCACCGCGGAGTCCTACTTCAGCCCCGCACCCAGGGACAGTGAATGACCGTTCGCCCCCTCACTCTGAAGTATGTATGTATGTCTGTATGTCTGTCTGTCTGTCTGTCTGTCTGTCTGTCTGTCTGTCTGTCTGTCTGTATGTGTATATGTATGTATACATACATATCTGTCTATCCGCCGGCCCCCTCTGGGGGTCGCAAGGCTGCGAAGGTGTGTGCGGTCTGCTGTCATGTGTTATGTGTTGTCATTTGTTGTTTGGCCTTTTGTCTCTCCAGTCCTGTGTTCTGCCTCCTGCTTACTGTCTGCTAAGGGGCCCCGCCGCGTCACCAATCAGCCAACGAGGGGGGTGAACCTCAAATCCACGCTGCTCCGGGCCACCCCAGGATTCTCATGGTGACCACCGCGAGGCCAAAACGGCCCGAGAGGCCTCCAAGATTGCCCGACGAGGCTCGGAAGAGGGCCTCAGGAGGCCAAGACGGCCCAAGATGGCCCCAAGATGTCCCACGATGGCCCCAAGACGGCCCAAGATGCTCCCAAGACGGCCCAAGAGGCCTCCAAGAGGCCTCCCAAGAGGGCCCCACGAAGCAACAAATCAACGATTTTCCTAACGTTTGAAGGTTTTTGGCCTTCTCGCCCTTTCGGCTTTCCGACGCTCCGAGACGGACCAGGAGGTTCCCACGACAGCCCTAGAAGCCCCCATGACGACCCAAGAGGCCCCCAAGACGGCCCCAGGACGGCCGACGAGGGCCCCAATAGGGTCTACGAGGCGCCCCAGACGGCCCAAAAGGGTCCTAAGACGGTCCCAACCAAGAGAGGCCCAAGAGGGAGTCAACGAACCGAAAACTCGACCTTTCCGCCACGAGAGGGCCACAGGAGGCCCCAAGAAGGTCCCCAGAGGCCCCCAGAGGCCCCCAAAAGAGGCCCCAAAGCGGCCCCACAGAGACCCCCAAGAGACCCCAAATATTGTTTCCGAGAAGCCCCAAGGAGACCCTAAGAGGCCCCCGAGAGGCCCCAAGGAGACCCCCAAGAGGCCCCAAGGAGACCCTCGCGCAGCCGCCCGCACTAGTAATAGGGAGGCCGGCGGCAGAGGGCGAAGCCCTTAAGCTATTTATATACAGGTATAGATATATGTGTATATATACACAGATGTATACACATATATATATATGCGTGTGTGTGTGTGTGTGTGTGTGTGTGTGTGTGTGTGTGTGTGTGTGTGTTACACGTGTGGGCCTCCCGAAGTGTCTCGTCGCCCCCAGGAGGCCTCCAAGGACCTGCGGAGATCTCTCGTCACAGCTGCATCTCCCATGAGACGCTGCTCGCACGCTGTGGCAGACACAGTCGTGACCCCGTGTTGCTCTGGATTGGTCCTGCCTGCGCCGCCTGGGTTGGACGCTCTCGGCCGTGCAGGCGATAGGACCAGTTATCAATGCGACGGCAACTTGAGCCAGTGCAAAAAAATGTAAGGTCGGCTGATGTTTTGCGTTTGTGATCTAATATCAGGCCCTCTGGACGCCTCTGACGTTGAGATGTTTTACAAAGCGCCCCCGGGATGTCCTCAACCGCATACGGTCAGTTTTGCGCCGCGGGTTTTTTGTAGCGAAACTATAAATCGCATGTTTAGTTGTTATGTTTCTCGGCGTCCGAGTCTGCAGAGTCAGTCTGACTGTTCCTCCACCCTGGGAATTCAATGCAACTCCGCCTGCCCCCCCAGAGAAGCCCCGAACGGCCCGAGATGCTCCCAATCGAACGAAAACGTCCAAAAACCTCGATCCCCGAACCCCGATGCCAGTGCCAACCGCGGCCCTCCTGTTGTGAGCATGCAGCCGCTCCACCAGCTGCTGCACCACGCTGGGCAGGGCCTTCGACAGGTCGCAGCGCTCCTCGGGGTCCCTCTCGATGTTGAATAAGCAAACCTGCGGTGTGTGTGTGTGCGTGTGCGTGTGTGTGTGTGTGTGTGTGTGTGTGTGTGTGTTAGGAGCTAGCTCATGGGAGGCCTTCGTAGGAACGGTGGAGAGCGACTCAGCAAGACCCGGAGGCCACTGGGCCGGATTCAGCCCTGCTGCACCGAAGGTCCGAACCAAATGAACCCGCAGTAAAGGGAATGAATCTAGCTGCGCTCGGCCAGGCCAGCCCGGCTGTAGACCATGGATAATTCGGCGCCGGTGGTGCGTTGAACCCCCAGGGAGTTGCACCCCAATGTGTGAGCGTGGGTGTGTGTGTGTGTGTGTGTTTGTTTGGGGGGGGCGGGGGTGCAGGCCGCCAGGCTTGGCATGACGGAAAAGGGCTATGGTGGAAACGGTTGATGCGGCCTTCCCCGGGAGCTCCTGCTCATCACTACTCGATGTTTGATGACCCCGAGGCCCGAAAAGGTCCCCAAGAGGCCGAATGCGGCGCAAATGCTGCAAGATCTGATTGCAAAAACCGGCAACAGACTCACCAACAAATCGCGCCGGAATGCCTCCACAAGTATTGAGGCGGTGCAGGATGTCGTAGTAGTTTCCTTTGAGGTCAAATTCGTTCTTTGGGGTTCTCCGAAGTGCTGATTGGTTTTAGGAGGCCCCAAGAGGAGGGTGATGAGGACGACAATGGCCCATGCCTCAGTTGCAACGAGTCCCTAAACAACGGATGATGTAGGGGGGCTTACTATCTGGATCTCCTGACCAGCGAACGCTGCGAGTAGTCCCCAGGCCAGACTTACCGCGCCACTTCGCACGGAGTAGTCAATGGCAAAAGCGTCCTGTCACGATGCGCCCGTGATTGGAGCCAACGGCGCGTCGTAGGTAAAAGTGTGTGTTTGTGAGTGTGCGCCCGCGTGCGTGCTACTATGTCAGCGCGGACAAAATGCACATGCACATTATCCAAACATGGTTTCGATCACATGCGCATGCTCGCACCCTTTGTACATGCACGTTCATGCGCACAGGCATAATACTGGCCCGGCAATTGGTCACATTCGGAATGCGCGTGTTATGATCCCATCACGTGCGTGATCATGCTGCGACTGCGTTTGGAAGATCTGCCCTGGTGTAATTTGCCCAGGGGGATAATCAGAAACTCTCGACGCCACCCCTGGGACCCAAGCATATACATGCACGTCCCGACACCCGCAAACGGCGCCCTTCCACGGCAGAGCCACGACGCCCTTCCCTGGGGAGAAGGGGGCCCTTCCACGGAAGAGCCAATCTTTGGCTTCGGGCAATCCCCGCCTGAAGAGCTACTGCGGATGCTTTTGCGGTCTGTCGCGTGTGACTCTGCAGCGTGTGATCGCTAACGAGGGTTGTTCAGGTGCGGTCGGTGCGAATGGTCTTTAGGTTTGGTATGTTCGCATCGTCTCTCGTGTGTGCAATCTAAGTAAAATGCGTATACGTGCAAGTATTGTGTACCCGTCTGCTCCTTGCGTCTGTCATTAGCTACACACGCTGCATCGCACATGTACGTGGCTGACGTTGGTTAGCTGTGCTGTTCATGCTCCCCCGGCGTTCTTGATGCATGACTGTGTTTTTGTTGCTTTGCTAAAGGTGCAGTTCCTTGCTTCGCATATCCAAAGTCTGTCAATGATGCATGTTGTTGGTGCCCGATCTTAACATGTGATTGCTGCTTGTCCTGTGTATGTTCGTGACGACTGCGTTGTGGATGTTCGCCCACTGCTGGACAATATTGGCGTTTTCGTTGGATGAACCTCTGCATTGCCGACGTCTGCAACCGACGTCAGTCCTTCAAGTCGGTTATGGATTGGTGGTGTTCGGGCACGTGTACCTTAACGGCGCATGGTAGCGCTGCCCGTTCCTGGTGGAGGTTCCTGGCGCGCATCATTGATGTCCGAGGCTGTCTGCTACGATCCGCTTACTTCTGTTATTCCCTACCTAGGCTCTGCCTAGAAGGGTTCTTACCCTAGAGATAAAGGGGCAGGGCAGTGGACCCCGCCCCGGGCGGTTCCCCCAGCATCCGCCCCGCGGTTCCCCCTGTTACGTCCCCTTAGCTTAGCGTTGCTTATCTCATCTTATCTTAGCTTATGTCATCTTAGCTTAACTTAGCTTTATCTTAGCTCAGGTTTATCTTAGCTTAGCAGCTTAGCGTACCTTCACCTTAGCTTCGCTGAGCTTGAGCATAGCAGAACACAGCATATCATAACATAGCGCAACATAGCATAGCGCAGCACAGCATATCATAGCATAATTCAGCATAGCGTAGCATAGCGCAGCCTAGCATCGCATTGCATAGCACAGCGCACCATAGCACATCACATCATAGCACAGCGCAGCATAACATAGCATAGCATAGCAGATCATAGCGCGGCCTAGCATCGCATAGCTTAGCATAGCACAGCGCATCATGACATAGTATAGCTTAGCATATCATAGCATAGCGCATCATAGCATAGCATAGCAAAGCATAGCAAACCATAGCGCAGCATAGCGTGACATAACATATCATAGCATAGCATAGCAACGAATGTTGCTTTCCTAGGGGTTCCAACATCTAGGTCGGGTCGCACTGGGGGGTAATTATTCAATGTTTAAATTTGAAAAAAAAAAAAACGCAAGGGGAATCCTGGCGACAGCCTCGAACATGCATCGCCAGAGGTTAAAACCAACAAGCGCGCTGCTCCCGTTCCTCCCACAGCGGGGGTCGGGGACAGGCTACCGACATCAACTCCGATGCGTAAACTATTGGACCCTTGCGCGGGCGGTATCTGGAAACTCAAACTAGACCGCGAGACTTCGTTTAAGCGCGTGGCTCGAAGTGTTGTGTTCAACATCAAGAATATAAGCATGCGTTTGAGTCGCTTGGCAGGATCCGTTCCGACGAAAGCCTCGACATGCCAATGCCAGAGGTCAGAGCCGAGAAGCGCGTTGCCCCCACCCATGCAAAACATCAAACGGGCTGGCTCCTTCCAAGCGGCTCTGGAACGACACTGGTGCAACTCTACTGAGGCAACGTTTGGAAGATCGGCAAGCGCGGCGATCTCTGGCGAAGCCAAAGGCGAGAGGTGAGCGAATGCTCTAACATGGCTGGGATTCTGCGTTGCCAGGAATAGATGAGCCCCAGCGCCGCCTGGGCCACCCCGCTGCCGAACTGCACTTGATTCGAGCCACTTGGGGCGAGAAAATTTAGCGGGGGGCCCTCGTTGGACCTGATTTCGCAGGCCCTGCCATGAGAAATCCGAAGAGTCTGACGCGATGGTGCCGCGGTGGCGCGAGGGGCGCTGCGAGGGCGCGCCCCCGCCGCGCATTCCTTCTGCCGCTGCGAGTCGCCCCGAGATTTAGGAGGTCTCGCCGCGCGGGGTCGCGCAACGCGCCCCCCAACTCCGGGCGCGGGAACCGAGCTTCTCGCGGGCGCGGGGGGCGCAGAGACTGCCGGCAAAAAGATCGGTCACAATTTTGCCTTGAAGGATGTCGCGACGTCGAGCGGGCAAAAACCGCGCGCGGCGCCCCCGACGGGCCCTTCTCAACCCAAGTGGGGCCGCCGCGTCAGCCTGGCCCACCGAAACCAAACCGGGCGAGGGAGGCCGAGAAGGATGCGCCGAAGGTGGCGGCCGCGCGCGTCGCATCGCTAGACTGAGTTGGTCGCCGCGCTTTCACCTGTGCACGACGCGGGCGCGGGCTCGCCACCCCCGTCCGCGCGCCTCCTCGAGCGCGCGCGGGCCGCGACTGACGTCGAAGCTGGCGAGCGAGCGGCGCAGCTGGCACGGCGTCGCCAGGCTCGCGCCGACCTCGGCGGCGGCGGTCTTGACGTCCGCGGAGAGCTCCGGACACTTGAGCGGCCGGGGCGGGCCGGGGCTGGCGTTGCCGCGCAGCGCGGCGAAGCGGCGGCCCTCGTCGTTCCTGTCCGTCTTGCCTGGGCGGGCCATCTCCCCTGGATGCGCCCGAGGGCCGCGCGTCCGTCCGCCATCGCCCGCCGGGGCGGGGCCGGGGCGCACTTCCGCGACTAGCGGGGAAGCAGGCCGACAGGCCGCGCGCCAAGGGCGAGGCCACCAACGGCAGGTCCTTTTCTTCGAGGCGCCGCAGCACCGCCGTCCGGCACGGCGCGCACGCGATGGAGCGAGCCTCCGCCGCGTCTTCAGCGCGCTCCACGTCCGCGGCAGTGCATGAGAGCCCCCTCCTCCGTCCAGAGGTTGGGGGCCGGTCGACAAGCGCCGCCCTAGTCTGCGTGCCGGCCGGACCTGCGCTTTCCTTCCGCGCGCGTCTTGGAAAAATAGTCGCGCAACTCGCGGTCCTCGGCATCGTCCGCCGAGGGCCATCTTCCGCCCGCTCTTCGGCGATGCCGGAGACTGAGCGCAACCGCTCCAAGTACTTCTTGCATTATATAGCAAGGTTGGACCGCGCTACTGGCCGTCGGGAATCTCGCGGGCGCAGATGGCGGCTCTTCGGCGACGGCGGGGGGCCTTGAGAATTCGGAATTCGCGACCGCTTCCTGGGAACGGAGGCGCGGGGTACCAGGCTGTCCGAGTCGCTCGCGCGTCGTCGACAACTGCGTCCTCCGTGCCGGCGCAGGCGTGGCCCGCCATGGTCGCGCGGCACTCCTGGGCCAGTGGCGCGCGGGGGCGGCGGCGGGAGCCCCGGCGGGCTTGCCGCGGGCCCGGCCCGCGCGCGGCGGGGCCCGGGCCGTCGACGAGGCCCTGGAGGGCGCGAGTGTCCGAGACCGCCGGAGCAGAGTCGCGGGGCCGGGCGCGGCGCTGCAGCGGCCCCCATCCGCGTCGTCGGCGGCCGCAGCCGCTGGGCCGCATCCTCCGCGAGGGAATCCTCGCGAACGGGGGTTGCCGCTGAGCCGAATCGGCGGGCGCTGAAACGACTAATCTGGAAAAGTAACTAGTTACGCAGACTCGCGGAACGGGCAAAGGCGACAGCGACGCGGGCTGTCGCGAGGGGGAAGATGTCGAATGCGCCCATCCTGTAGGCCTTTGCGAGGGCCCGGGCGCCCAGCACAAGAGTGCCCCAAACCCTTTCTTGACGGTTTTCCCAGCGGAGTTGCGGATGAGCTGCCTGGGGGCCTCGGGGGAATTCGCCGCGACCTCCGAGTCCCTAGTCGCCCTGGGCGCGCGGGCCTCCTTCCAGCAGCTGACTCCCCCACCCCCAGGCTCGTCGCTGAAGGCGGGCAGGGGCCGGGGAAGGCCCGGGCGGGATCCGCGCCGACGCTTCTAGGGCGGGAGCGCGCGAGCGCCCGACCTGTTCCAGACGCCTCCGAAAGCCCTAATAGACTTCGGACCATTGTCCAGCCGGCCAAGCCAGCGTCTGTCCGGAGAACGCAAGGGCCCCATGCAGGGCAGCCGCCAGTCCGGGCCGCGCAGGAGGAGGCCGCCACGCAAGGCCTGGGACTAACTGTCGACCTCGGGCCCCGACGAGGCCACCTCGCCATGCTCCGCTGCGGTGAATTCGCTTGGGGCGTGAAATATAGCAGGGGACCCCCGAGCCGCGAGACCTGTAACAACGCGGCGGCCAATCCTTCTCGCGAAAACCTTGCCATTGCACTGGCTGCGGGCGAGACAGCCCATCGAGCCCCGCTCGAGCTCCCGCTTCCAAAACCTGCCCGAAGTGGTCCCAGAGAGCGCGCGCGAGCCGTCCAGCTCCCATCCGAAAGCTCGCCGAAGTCGCCGTGGATCTCACCTCGCCGAGGGCCGGACAAACATGCTCGGAAAGGTCCGCCCGCGCAAAAACCATCTGCCCGTTCAATCTCTTCGAGCCCGGGGCCCAAAGCGACCCCCAGGTTGTCCGCGCGAGCGCGGGCGCCTCCTGCGCCGGGCGCGGATGCGTTCAGCGCGAAAGCGTCGGCGTGATCCTGGATCAGTGGCTGCCGCCCGCCAGACCGGGGGGGCCTGCTCGGGCGCGGCCCCGCGGCAGACCCGGTTCTCGTCGGCGGTCTGGGCCGGGCGCAGCGACCGCCTGAACCCCGCGGGCAGCGCGGCCAGGCGGGGCCCGACGGCATGGGCGCCCACGCCATCGAAAGCGTGTTGGGGGGCGCTGGGCGATCGGAAGAAGCGGCCAATATTCTCGCGCATCCGCACGCGGTGGAAATTGTTCTCGCCCGTCGTCGCCACGAAGACCGCGGAGCCGCCCAGGAGGCGCTGCCCCTCGGAGGAGGCAGGCAGACCCCAGTCGGAAGCTCGGTCTCGATTCGCCAGAAGCCCTCGCTGCTCAGAAGCTGCACTCCAGGAGGTGTCCTGAAGTGTCCGTTGCTCCATCCTGCGTCAACCATCGCTCTCAGAGCGCCGCCGGTCTTGCAGAAAAGCCCCGCCTAATCGGCGGGCCGCGACGTCGCGCCAAGAGGCCCCGGCACAGCTATGTCGGGGGCCATCGCGGGGGGCCAGGCGCCAGGCGTCGGCGAGCGATGGCGTCTCGCCCCGGCGGGGCGGCAGTCGGGGGCCGCGTGATCACCTCTAGACCAGCCGAGCCTCCGAGGTCAGCTGGCCGTTGCAGCCCGCCTCCTCGAGCGCCTTCCCCCGAGGGCGCAGCGCGTGGGCCGCGCGGTCTGCCGAAACGATGTGCATGTCCCGCAGGAACTGTTCGAGCCATGCACGGGGTGGGCCTGTCGTCCTGAATCTCATCTTACACGCGTGCACCCAGGTCAATCCGCTCCCCCCTTTCTGATGGCAGTATTCGCAGCTCACCGGCTCAGTCACCGCCGTCCTGAACTATTTGAACCGCTCGCCCTAGCCCCGAGCCTGCCTCTCGTCGCGGCACTCCTCAGCCAGAGCTCGTTTCTCGCGGAATCCTACATATTCCGGCCATCGGCTGGCGAACCCGTCCCAACTGGGAGCTGGTTGCCGCCTGAGGGGCCGCCCTCGGGCGAGGCCCAAATCAGCAGCTCCTCCCACGTGTCGCCATCCAGCAGCAGGATCCAGCAGAGGAGCTGGCCCGCGAAGCCACCAACTGCAGCGCGAGCTCGAGAGGGCCAGATCACGATCCGTTCGTGGCCCAGCGGCATCAAGTCCCTGCTGGCAGATCAGCGCACGACCACCACCACCCCGCGGGGAAGGGGGAAGGGGCTGCCCAGCGCGACCGTGCCAGGACCATGGCGCGTCTCTGGACGGGCGCGGCGGCAGCGCCAGCAGCGCCTCTCGACCAGCACGGCCCAGCCCTGCGACACGAGCACCAGAAACAGGTGGACCAGCAGCGCCCTGGTCTCGTCCTCCGACTGCTCCCACGCGGTGCACGAGCCTGCACCCGCCGGTGGCGGGGGCGGTGGCGGCGCCGCCGCCGCCGAAGCCCCAAGGGCGGCCACCTCCGCCCGGTGGGAGGCCGACAAGGCCTCGGCGCACGCCTCCGATACGTCCCTGGCCCACGATGGCGGCCCAGCGTCCGGGGGCGGCGGGTGCGGCGAACCAGCCCAGCGAGGCGCCCAGCGCCACGCCAACGACCAGCAGCGCCGCATGGCCGCCCGAGGCGAACATGCGGCCTGCCGCCTTTTAAGAGCCGGGGACAGGCATGGAGGACACGGGAGAAAGACCAGGGCGTGAGAGGAAGTTATGACCTCCGATGCGTGAACCCTTGGATCACAACGCAGGTGGCATCTGGAAACTCAAACTTGACCACAAACATTCGTTCAAGTGCTAAGCTTCAGCCGTTCGAGAAAATATGTGAGCCCCCTCCTTGAAGTATGCGCATGGCGTATGGCCATGATGCCTGATGTTGGGCCTGCTCCAGATGTCTGCTCAAGGTGTGTGCTCTGGATACTTGTTCTAGATGTCTGTGGACGGCGTGACGACGTGACGTCTTACATGTCTGATGAATCGTGAGATGTTTATATCGTTTCTCTGTTCGGGGCCCGGCGAAAAGGGGGTTTCCGGGGCCATCGGGAGTTTCGGGGCTTTGCACGGCCGCGGTATGCAGACCTGGTGGGTGAGGCGGGACACTGGGCGACGATCGGGACTGCACGGGCGTCGGCCGCAGTATGCAGGGTTGGCGGGAAAGGTGGAGGCCTCAAAGGCCATTGGGACCACTGGGACCCGGCGGCCGCGGCGCGCAGGGCTGGTGGGCGAGTTTTCCGCTCAAGGCGAACAGCTGGCCGCCCCCTCCTGTTGGATGAGGAAAGACTCGTTTCCAGTTTCGGCTACAAAAGCGTTCGTGGAGTAGTCACCAAACGGATTGTGACGCCCAAGTCTCTCAGCACATCTTCTGCTCACTTTCGCAGCGTACAAATATATACATATATATATATATATATATATATATATATATATGTGTATATATATATACGCATACGTATATACGCATACATATATATATATACGTAACTAAATATGTATATCTATGGGAAGACAAGGACCACAGTATGCAACAAGCGTGCAGAAGGTTGGGCTGCAGACTTTGGTGGTGGGCAGCGCAGAAGGCGTCATTGCGAGACGGGCTGCCTTCCCAGGAGAAGATAGGCTCCGTAATCGCCGCCCACTCGAGGCCCGTGCGCCCCGCGCCCTCCGAGAGACGGGGGGACTTGCCCTGCCCCCTCGCGCGCGACGCCAGACAGTACCCTTGCGACCTTGGAGTCGTCGAAGACCTTCTGGTCCATCTCCTCCTTGGTAAACGAGCACGGGCCGCAGCCCTCTGCCGACGAGTGCCTCAGCTTGTCGGCCTGGGGGGGCGCCCAGCTGTTCACCTGCACCGATCCTGGCCGACCCCATCTCGGACCAGGACGAGCCTGGCTGGGGTCGGTCTGCCAAGAGGGCGGAAGGCACACAGTGTCGCGGAAACGGGTCCTGGGCCCCGGACCCTGGGGCCTTCCACCCAGGAGGAGCTTTTCATCGTGAGCCTTTGGTTGCCAGGTCCTGGGGCCCGGGGAGGTCCCCAGGAGCCCGAAGTCGGCAACGGGAGCCCGAGGACGGCGACTAACCTCCAGGACCCCTTTCCTTCATGACATTGCGCGCAAGTGTGCAGGTGGCGCCCCCGACGGCCGGCACGTCGTAGTCGGGCGGCGCGCGCCACTCGTCTTGGTGGCTGGGCCCGTGGTTGGCGGGCCACGCTGCGGGCCGGGGGTGGGCAGGGGAGTCGACCGATCAGGCCCTCCATGAGGCCAAAAGCGGCTGGAAGCCCGTGGCCCTCTGCAGAAGAGGGAAGCCTGCGTAAGCGTTCTGTCAGCGGAGGTCAGCGTGGACGTCTGGGATCGGCGCAGGAACCCCCTCCTCGGCGCGCGGATCGCGCCAAGGGCGGCGCCAGAGGCACCGCCAGGGGGGTCCCGCACCGATCCGGGAGATCCGCGCGGACCTCCGACAGGTCTGTGCGTCTGCAGCTGTTTTCCCCTCTTCGGCTCTGGGGCTTGAACGTCAGAGCCCCCTGGAGGGCCTGGCTCCTGTGCTGGGTGCGTTCGGCGAGTTTTCGCCACGTTGCCGCTCGTTGCCACCTCTAGCGTGCACCACGTAGCACTGCACCACCTAGCTGACACCGAATAGATTCCACCCCATAGCGTGCACGTCCACAGTTCCTCCTCCTGCTCCTCCTCCTCCTCCTCCTCCTCCTCCACCTCCTCCTCCTCCTCCTCCTCCTATGTACTCCTCCTCCTCCTCCTCCTCCTCGGGGCCTCCGCTGGCTAACATTGCTCTTCTTCGGATCTGGGGCTGGATTTCCTGAGCCACCTGGAGGGCCTGGCTCCTGGCCCCTCCTTACCAGCCTGGAACATATCCCTATCCCTATGCTGGGCACCTCCTCATCGCGATGCCAATCTTAGGGATTCCCTTTTGTTTGAGGGCGAATCCCCAAGATTGTCATCGCCATTTGGCGTGTCAATCTTAGGGATTCGCCCTTTGGCGTGTCAATCTTTTGGCCTGTTGGATACGTTCGAGGCTGGTAACCTCCCCCCGGTGGCCCCGCGGAGCGGCCCGCCGACCGCGGGGGCTGGGCCAGTCGCCGGGGTACCGCTGGATGAGCTTCCACTCGCCCACGCGCAGCGCGGCGTTGCGCACGCCCCACTTCGAGTCGCACGGGGCGCCGGCGCGGACCACCTGCCCAGCCAGCCAGAGCTGGGGGAGGGAGGGAAAGGAGGAGGAGGAGGAGGAGGAGGAGGAGGAGGAGGAGGAGGAGGATCACGTTACAAGCTGCTCTCCACGACTAGTTACCGTTCTCCCCATTGTTCTTCCTGCTGTTGCTATCCAATTGAGGTGAGCGTCGTCACACCTAGCGAGCGCCTGCTCTCACTAATATTGTTGCCAGCGCCCGCACTCTTTCATTTCCCGCGGCGCCAGCCAGGTGTTTTTCTTGACCCGAGTTGTTTCTCCTTCAGCCGCCACTGACGCCACAGCGTCACGCTCGGGTTGGTCTAACGTAAAAAGGACGAGGAGAAGGAGGAGGAGGGGGAGCAGGAGGGGGAGGAGAAGGAGTAGCAGGAGGAGGAGGAGGAGGAGGAGGAGGAGCAGGAGGAGCAGGAGCAGGAGGAGGGAGGAGGAGGATCGCGAAGCGGAGGAGAAGGAGGAGGGAGGAGGAGGAGGAGGAGGAGGAGGTACAAACAAACCCAGATCTCATCCACGATATTGCAATAAACAGTCCCTCGAAGTTACCTCTTCATAGGCCCCTACAAGAAAGGATTCACTCTCACTAAAGAAAGAGCCCCGTTGGAAGATAACCGTTTGAAAATCCGGAACTGTGCCAAAAACGTTACTCCTGATACTCCAGTACCGCGAATATCCGTCACTGTTGCGTCTTGACGATCCTGAACCGTGCCAGAACACTTTTCCTCTGACATTAATCCCGCAAATTCATATGACTGTTGCGCGCTGATGTTCCGACACCATGCCAAAACACAACTTCTGGGACGTCAGCCATGATATGATCCTTGAAACTGTTGCATGTTTTAGAACTACTGCGCACGGCGCTAAATGCAAGAGCCACACGTTGAAAAGAAACCGCCCTCCACCTGTGGAAATGTTGCAAACTTTGAAACACACGTGCGCGGCGCTAGGGCGAGAACCACATTTTGAAAATCCCCCGCCCGCCATCCGTGAAACTGTTGTACGCTTTTGAGACGAATGTGCGCGGCGATGAAGCGATCGTTACATGTTGAAAACGTCCCGCCCTCGATCCGTTAAACTGCTGAAATTTCAAAGCTTCAGGATCATAAATGGTGAGGAAAATCTTGAGCGAAACGCCCGGGCCCGCCCTTTCGACTAATCTCGGGGTGCAGAAATGGAGCAGCCTGGGGCAGGTGTGTGCCCTGACCCCCATGGGAAACCCATCGTGTCGACGACCTCTCGAGAGAGGTGTCGAAACCGATGGGCCCCCCAAGGGAAGCAAGAACCACAACTTCCCCAAGTCTTGGGGAAACCACACGGTACCAATACCTCCACTCCCCAGACCTCCCCTGGGGTGCGATCCGACCAGAATCTCGAAGAGAATCCAGCTAGAGTGCCTCAGACTTTCCGGGTCGAGCAGCGGTCCCAGTGACTTTCCCTCCTCGAAGTCTGACCTCTGGCGTGCAGGGGCCCATGGGGTCGATGTTGAGCAGGATCTCCTGCCTGTCCGAGGCGGGCGAGCCGGCCGCCAGGGGCTTCCAGAAGTCGACCCCGTCCGTGGCGAGCGCCGGCGCGCGCGAGGAGCCGCCGCCGGGCTGCGCGAGCCCCAGGATCGTAGGCATCATGTCGGTGATGCCCGGAGGACGCCGGCCAGCCTCGCTCCCCGACCGCCCCGGCCGCCCCCAGCGCAGGCTGCCGTATACGCCGGCCTGCTCGCGCCGTGGGCAAGAATCGCGGCGGGAGAGGTTCCTGGGCCCGCGGTCGGCCTGCGGGGGCCCTCGTCGGGCCCCCGGGTCGTCGGCAAGCGACTCGGGGTGAAGACTCGACCCTGGGGAAAGGGTCGGGACTCTCGGGGAGTCCGTATTGATCGGGGATGGACAGACCCCCCTTTAGTACAACGTGGTTTCGCGAAAACGACCTGAGGCCCAAACCTGGCGGGTGCAAGCCTGGAAGATAACGGCCACGGCGCCCTCTCGAGAACCGAAAACGGACAATTCACTGATCGACGTGTCACTGTTGGGGGTTCTGTCCACCCCCGAATCAAAACAATCAAGACTTCTGATGCCTGGCTGCTGCACGTTCGTGTCGCAACGACTCCGGCGTCGGTATCCGACACCGCGCGGATATCGTTCAGCCTTGAACGATCGCAAATTCCCCACGGCGCCGAGTGCACGATGTCGTGCAATTCCGAGCGGCTGGAGCCGTTCAACCTTGAGCGCCCGCGCCAGGGTCACCGCCGCGTCGACAAGACATGAGCCTACCCCAAGCATCCGATGTCTTGATACTTTCAATGTGGTGTCCCCCGAAGTCCGACCCTCTCCCCAGGGCTGGGTTTTCAAACCGAGACGCTTTTTGACAGAGCGGGGGCCCGGCGAGGGCCCCTGGAGGCCGTCGTGTGTTTTCACGAAGCGAACGCATCTCGGAGCGTCCGCGCGTATCAGCAAAGCCCATCCTGGCCCCCTGGTGTGGGTGCGCCGCGCAGGGCCACCCCCCCTGTGCTGGAAGGTCCGCGGGCGCCAAGAGCGTGCACCTCGATCCTCGCTGGGCCGACCGGTGCGAAGAGGACCGGCCCGGGCAGGATCGGTGGCACGACGTGGGGCGACGAACTTTTGCTCAGCGTGTCGCGGCGGCGACCCTGGCGACACGCAGTGCCCTGCGAGAAGAAGGTGCGCCGCTCCTCTCCGCCTCCGCGTGGCGGGGGGCTGGGAGGAGCTCGGGAGGACGACGCACGGGGAGGAGGAAGAGGAGGAGGAGGAGGAGGAGGAGGAGGAGGAAGAGGAGGAAGAGGAGGAGCAGGAAGAGGAGGAGGAGGAGGAGGAGGAAGAGGAGGAGGAGGAGGAGGAGGAGAGGAGGAAGAGGAGGAGGATGAGGAGGAGGAGGAAGAGGAGGAGGAAGAGGAGGAGGACTTCCTGGGATGTGGCTGGCGTGTGGCGCCGAGGCGTGGTGTGCCAGAGCCGGAGGCGCGACAGGCGGAGCAGATGCTCCGGGCAGTGTGTGGCTGGCAGGCGTCCTCCGAGATGTGCACGAGGCCGCCCCAGGACTGCCCGACCATGCTGGCTGGGAGCAGGGGCGAGTGGATGAAGGCCTCCAGGGGACATACAGTCGAGGCGTTGACCTAAGGAACCCTAAATGAGGAACGAGGCCCTTTTTTTTCGTAAGTTAAACTATGACTTCCCATCGAAAACAGAAGGGAAAGCTCAGACAAGGTGTGGAACAATTAAGGAACATCGAGCCCCTCCCCAACGAAAAGGGTTCCTTCTTCAGCGCCCCGACTGTAAAGGGGCACACTCATCCCACCATCTCCTTGTCCGGCCACCCTCCGCCAGCTCCCTATCCTTCCGCCTCTCCTGCTCCCCCTCCGTCCAGGGGAGCGGTACCCATAGCTGCCTCCGACGCTTGGGTTTCGTCAGCACGCAGGCCTCTGGAACCCTCGGCACGTCATCCTTCGTGAAGATTCCGCGCCGTGGGTTCTTCGATTGCTGGCCCAAGAGCCCTAGACCAACCTCTAGAGGCCCCCCCAACCCCCAATCTTGGAAGCATCTGCCGTCTTGTCTTCTTCACGGCATCAGGAAGGTCGACGGTTCTGAAATTGGGTTCTGCAGTCTGCAGCCGCAAAAGTCGGGCCAAGGATGACCATGGCTGGGGGAAGGGGGGCCGATTCGGGTGTACCCTCCAGAGCACTCTCGACCTCGACGCTCTTGGATCAAAAATGCCTTCGGAACCGTGATACAGTCGGGCTGCTGAAAGAAGGAACGCTACATAAGGAACGAAGCCCCTTCTTGGCCCTGAAACCGCCTCCGTGCCCCAGGAGGGCAAGAGGAACAGCACTGGAGGAACCTAAGGAACATCGAGTCCCTTCCGAACCCGAGCTGTTCCTTCTTTCAGCGTCTTGACTGTAAACATCTGAGCGGCTTCCGGGTCCTGACTCCGCTCTCTGGCGGCCGTTCGGGGCGATCCAGGCACCCCCGGAACGCTCTCGGCAAGGCGCAGCGGCTGGAAGGCACTCCGGGGCCGGAACGCCGGCGAGAGCCAGCGAATCGCCCGCAATCCTCGAACGTCGAACCTTGAATCTCGAACCGTCAACATTTTTGGTCCCCGTCCTGGCTGCGGACCCCGCCCTCCCACAGGCTGCCCTTCCAGCCGCGGAGCGGCCAGTTGCTGGCCCCCTCCTCGGGGGGGGGGGGCAGAGATCGCACCCACGCTCACACGCCTCCTCTTGGGTAAGGACCGACCGTCCTGGCATTCTTGCATTTCTACCACACATTTGTATGACAAGCACATGTTCTGAGAACGAAAGCACTGTTCTTCGATCATAAAATCGACGGGTTCACTTATGCTGTCTATTCAACCCATCAAAGCGACAACCATTTCGTGGAAAATGCAAGCAGGGTATGAGACATTTATCTGGTGGGCCTATTGGCAGGTCAGGACGCTTCGCCACTGCTTGACTCTCCCCCCTCGCCTTCCTCCCAACGCCATCGCGCTGACATGGGGCAAGCTGCATCCTGATCGAAGGTGCATGTTCTGGGGGCCCGGCGAGCCGTGGCCACGAGCAGGCCCTCGACCTAAACCAAAAAGGAGCGGCCCGAAAGCCAGGGCACCTCCTGAGTCCCAAGTGGTCAGTATTTCAGCGTGTTGGCTGTATTCCTCCTCCCTCGCCCCCTCCTCCTCCTCCTCCTCCTCCTCCGCCTCCTCCTCCTCCTCCTCCTCCTCCTCCCATCCCTCCTGCACGTCCCCCGTGTTCTCCTGTTTCTCCTCCACCCGCTCCCCCCCCCCTCCCCCCCTCTCCATCCACGCCGCCCTCCTCCAAACCCACTTTCCTGTTATCACAGCTCCTCCTCGTCGCACGACCGGACGAGTCGGTGGTGCGGCCCAGGCTTGACCTTCCCATCAGCTTCGCGGATGGCGGGCGAGCCATTTTCAAAATATGGTTGTCGCCGGAGCGCCGTGCACACTGGTCTTGAGCGCTCCCAACTGCTATGGAGGGTGGCTGGGCTGACTTTCGAAATCTAGCTCTCGCCTGAGCCTCGCGCAAATCAGGATCCCAGCCCTAAGCCGTAAAGCTCGAACGACTTGGCAGGCAGAGGGCGCTCCGATTCCAATGCGTGGCTCTCGCGTGGGGCCCATTCCGCTCGAGACTTCCCACAGCACCAGGGATTAAGGGGGGGGAAGGGGGGGGGGCGGTTCGTTCTCAGAGTGGAGCTCTTTCCTGAAAGTTCTTTCGGATTTCCGCATGCACGGTCGGGAACCGTTGCTCAGCGTGTGGCGGCGGCGGCATCGGCGGCACGCCATGCCCCGCAAGCGGGCAGCGTGTCGCTCCGCGCTGCGTGGCGGGAGGCTGGGCAACACCCGGGGCGGTGACGCTTCGGGACTGGGACGCGGCTATCGCGTCGCGCCGAAGCGTGGTGGGCCAGAACTGGCGGCGAGACGCGCCAAGCAACCGCTCCTGACCGGAAGTCCTGACCGGAAGTCTTGAACGAAGAGGCACAGCAGCTTCAAATCGTGCCCTTGGTCTGGCGCTGCGCACGTATGTCCCCGAACTTGCACTGGCCAGCCGGGTGGGGGTGCCTGCTCCCGACGCCTCTCGTCCCAGAGAGCAGCCAGGAAATGCAGATCAAAACCTCCGCTGCCCCTCAAGAGGACTATCCCCATCGCGCGGTTCACTGACAACCGATCGCCGCAAGACGCTTCAACAGCAAGCTGGAGAAATAAACACCGCATTCCGATGGGGAGAGCTCAGGGGTCAATCTAGGATCTAGGGGGTGCTTGCCACCAAGGCTCATTTGGTGTATTTTGCTGATTCGGCTGCACGCCAACATGCTGTACGCACACATCTTTCAGCACGCGTATTTTGCCTTGATGGGCACCTTGCCTTGCTGGCGGCTGCTCGCCGGAGTGACAAGGATCTCTTGTTCTAGCTTGATCGGGAAGAGGGGGTCTTGGGATGGGAGGGTGCGTTGCAGCAATTATCATCTCGTGTTTGGGAAGTGCTGTTTCTCCTCCGCCCTCCCCCGCCCTCCCCCCTGCGACCCTCATCCCCTTCGTCCGCGTCCTCGTGGTTGTGCCTTCCTTCCTTTTCCGTTTTTCCCAAAGAAGGGGAGGAGAAGCACGCAGCCTGAAGGAACCCGTCACGCAGCGCGTCAGCGGCCACTGAAGGGCGGCTCAGGTCCTACGGACCTGGGCCAGTGCTTTCTTGAACCCGACCCCAAGACACTCACCCAAGAGGGATCGCGGCGGGGACGGCACACAAGCACAGTACAGAGCACGCAAGAAGAAGTGGCGAGCCCGAAAACAAAGATAAACGAGCTTACAGCTGGGGTGGGTCGTGGGAGGAAGGGGATGAGGAAGAGGAAGGCGCAGAAAGTGGAGGCGAGGAAACAGGGAGGGATGGAGAGCCCGTCTCTGCGCTTTTGTCTGCCCTCTCCTCGACTTGCCCCCCATTGTCGCTGAAGAAGATGAGGACCGTGTTCTCGGCCATGCCCACCTCCCGGAGCGCCTAGGGCACCCTCGCACTCCTCCTCGCCCTCCTCTTCTCGGAGGCGAGCGAGCGGGGGAAGGTGAGACGGAGAAGGCCTTCTCGGAAGGCGGCGGGACTTCTCAGAAGCCGCCTCGTCTTCTGAGAAGGTCTCCGTGTCTTCGGCGAAGGCTCAGAAAGACGTCTCAGAAGGCCGGGGGACTTCCGAGCCTTCTGAGAAGGCCTTGTCCTTCTCACTCCCCCCCGAGGCTCGCCGCCGATCTCCCTCCGACGACGTCGACGTCGGCAGCGACGAGGACGACGAGGAAGAGGAGGACCTCCACCTCCTGCTCCTCCTCCTGGAAGTATAGAAGAACAGCATGAGCATCAATTCCGGGAGGTCCGCGCGGATTTCTTGGATCTACGCTGGAGGCCCCTCCCTGGCGCGCGGAGGGCGCCAGAGGCGCCGCGCCAGGGGGGGGTCAGCACAGATCCAAAAATCCGCTCGATTCGTCGGAATATTCTATGTATGCAGCATACTGTATGCAGGGTCTCCTCCTCGGCGGCGCGCACACGAGGGTAGGGGGAGGAGGGAAGGCTTCTGAGAAGGAGGCTGCTTCTTGGAAGGCGCGGGCCTTCCCTCTGCAGATCAGGCCCGCGCCTTCTGCGGAAGCAGGGGTGCTTCTGAGAAGCCTCACCCCCTCCCCCCTGCCCCCCCTCTGCGCGCCGTCCACAGGTAGAATCCGCCGACCCCTTGTGGGTCTCTAGGCGTGTGAGATAGTTCCCCCCCCTATAGTCCCCCCCCCGGGACCCCAAACCGGCGATTTGACCCCCCCCCCCGGGCCCGGGACGAGCGCCCCGGGCCCGGGACGAGCGCCCCCCCCGGGCCCGGGACGAGCGCCGCCGGGCCCGGGACGAGCGCCGCCGGGGCTTTGCCGGGTTCCAGGAAGCCTCAAGACGGGCCAAGATGGCCCCAAGAGGCGTTCAAGACGGCCCACGGGAGCTCCGAGACGCCAAACGAGCGCTCCAAGACGCCCAAGATGGCTCCAAGACGGGCTAAGAAGCCTCCAAGACGGCCCAAGAGGTCCCCAAGAAACCCCAAGACGCCTCCAAGATGCGTCCCACGAGGGTCCCTAGACGCAAAAATTGGCCCATTCCCTTCGTAAAACGTACATTCTTCACGAATTCGCTTTTTTGGTTTTTCCGACGCTCCCAGACGGCCCCAGACGGCCCAAGAGGCCCTAAATACCGCCCCAAGACGGTCCAAGCAGCCTCCAGGGAAGCTCCAAGGCAGCCCAACAGAGCCCCAAGACAGCCCAAGAGGCGCCCAAGATTGCCCAAGAGGGCCCCGAAGACGGCCCCAAGAGCGCTCCAGGAGCGCTTCAAGTTGCCTCCAAGAGAGCTCAATATGGTCACAGACGGTCGAAGAGCGATCAAAGACACCGACGATCGCCTCCAGACGGCCCAGGACGGCCCCAAGAGGCCCCAAGAGGCCTCCAAGATGCGTCCCAGGAGGGCCCCTCGGCGCAAAAATTGGCCCGTTCCCTTCGTGAAACGTACTTTTTTCCACAAATTTGCCTTTTCAGCTTTCCGACGCTCCCAGATGGCCCTGGAGGCCTCCAATACAGCCCCAAGGTAGCCCAGAGGCGTTCGAGCCGGGGTCATCCGAGCTCCGGTGGATCCCGGCTCGAACGCCGCCGGGGGGAGCAAAGGGCCCGAAAACGAACCAAGAGCGCACCAGAGCCCCCCCCCCCGGGCCCGGGACGAGCGCCGCCGGGCCCGGGACGAGCGCCGCCGGGGCTTTGCCGGGTTCCAGGAAGCCTCAAGACGGGCCAAGATGGCCCCAAGAGGCGTTCAAGACGGCCCACGGGAGCTCCGAGACGCCATGCCTCTCAATCTTTTCTTCTGGCACTTGCCACTGCGCTGTAACGCCTGGCAGCTACGAGCAGTGAAGGCGGAAACGCGGCGATAGCCGCCGGTACGAATCAAGGGGTCGGCGGATGTGGCGTGAGCCTGGAGAATCAGTGAATGTGCTATTTCACTGATTCTACCTGTAGGGTCAGTGAACTGCCCAATTCACTGATTCGAAAACTGGTTTGGGCAAAATCAGTGAACTCGCAAATTCACTGATTCCAACTTCTAGTTTCACTGATTTCTTCGCGCCGCCACCCTGCGCCTCCTCCCCCCCCTCCTCACGGAGCGGCTCAGCAGAACGTCCTGTGACGTCCTCCTGCCACCCCCTGCCTGCCGAGGCCCCTCCGGTTGGCGTGCGAGCACTGCTGCCCTTGCCCCCGGGGCGGGCGCACCAGTGATGAGTCTGGGACCGGCCCCAGCGCACAGATGGCTTCATCCTCCTACCCTTGGCCCTTGGCCCTTGGCCCTCGGCCCTTGGTCCTTCTCCTCCTCCTCCTCCTCCTCCTCCTCTTCCTCCTCCTCCTCCTCCTGCTCCCCTTCTGCTCCTGCTCCTGCTCCTGCTCCTCCTCCTGCTCCCCTTCTGCTCCTGCTCCTGCTCCTGCTCCTGCTCCTGCTCCTGCTCCTGCTCCTGCTCCTGCTCCCTGCTCCTGCTCCTGCTCCTCCTCCTCCTCCTCCTCCTCCTCCTCCTCCTCCTCCTCCTCCTCCTCCTCCCAGTTTGGGCTCAGGCATGGCGAGCACAGGGCTTGGGGCGCTGGGCCTTCCCAGCGAGCTGTCGCTCGCACCAGCCAGGGCTGGGACCACCGCGCCCTCCGAGGAGGCGTGGCATCGGCGCGCGCGCCGGCAGCGGGCAGGCGCGCGCACCGATGCTGCACGCGTGGCGTGGCGCGCGCCCTCGGCGCGGCCGCGCGAGCGGCTCGGGCGGGCAGCGCGCCTGCTTGACGAGCATCACGGATCAGCAGCGGGCAGCATGGCGCGCAAAAGCCATCCTGTTCCTCCTGCTCCTCCTCCTCCTCCTCCTCCTCCTCCTCCTCCTCCTCCTCCTCAGGATGGCGCCAAGCTGGACTGGCTCTGCGGCACACGTCAGTCGCGCGGCGCACCCCTCCGTAATTTCGGCTGGCGCACCGTGTGCGCGGGAGGGTGCTACCGCCCGAAAGGGCGATGCGGCGCGCGCAACGTGGAGCCCACCACGAAGGCGCCGCCGGGACAGCCCAGGGGCAGCAACAGGGACAAGGACAAGGATAAGGAGCGCATCAAGGCCCTGGAGAAGCAGGTGCGCGACCTCAAGGCCGGGCAGCAGAGCATGGAGGTGGACGCGGGCGGCGCCAGCGGGGGGGACCAGCAGGCCATCGCCAAGCTGGAGGCGGCCATCAAGGCCCTCGACGGCATCGAGGACGACACCGACATCGCCGCCCTGCGCACGGCCCAAGCAGGAGCAGCTCAAGGCGCTGCACGCCCGCCCACGTCCAGCTCAACCAGTGGGAGGAGAAGCTCCAGAAGGCCAAGAAGCTGGAGGAGCGCCTCGAGGGGACGGAGATCCCCGACCTCGAGCAGCAGCTCGCGGCCAAGCGCGAGGAGCTGCAGAGGGCGAAGAACCCCGTCCAGCAGTGCGAGGCACGGGCCAGTGCGGTGGCCGCGCAGCTCGCGCAGACCCCGCCGCGCGGACCGGCCTCGGCCCGCGAGCTGCACGAGATGCTGCAGCTGTTCACCGAAGGCCTGCTGCAGGTCGCCACCGACATGCAGCCGATCGTGGATAGCCTGGCGGCCGTGGGCGACGGCCTCAAGGCCACCCAAGCCGCCGATGAGGTGACTGCCACGGCGGCGGAGGGAGGAGGAGGAGGAGGAGGAGGAGGAGGAGGAGGAGGAGGAGGAGGAGGAGGAGGAGGAGGAGGAGGAGGAGGGAGGAGGAGGAGGAGGAGGAGGAGGAGGAGGAGGAGTCGGCCTCGCGAACCCTGCTGAGGCTCGTCCTGCTGGTGCTCCTGGGCAGCCTGCCGCTGTCCCCGCCGTCGCCCCTGAAGAAGGCGGCGCTGCTGGCCCAGCCGTGGGAGGAGCAGGAGGCGAGGACACCTTCGACTTCGAGATGCTGGAGGAAGGGGAGCAGGACGAGTTCCCGCGCGTCCTCGGGCAGGACGACAAGGAGAGCAGGGTCAAGGGAAATGGGCCCCGGGAAAGGGGAAGGGCAAGGACGTCGCCGGGTACCTCGGCCAGCTGGTGCACAAGTCCGTGCTCAAGCAGGCGGCGAAGGCCCGCGCCGCTGGCAGCCGCAGTCTGCCGGGGTAGCAGGGGTAGACATGAACGCCTTCACACTTGCGGGCCGAATTTCGTGACGTTTTCGTTGCGCCCGCGGGGGCTCACGAGCTGCGCCGGCGACGAGCGGGGCCGCTGCTGGCCCCGCAGCCGCGTCGGGTTGCGGAAGGATGGGGTCAGCGTCGTGCAGTTCCACGGGAACGCATGGGCTGGCCAGGCGGCTCTCCTGCGCGGCCTCGGCTCCGAGGTCGTCGCCGTCTGCGGGAGGTCAAGGTGGAGGCGCAGGACCAGGGCAGCGCGCGGGCGGCTATGGAGGCCGCAGGCTGGCATGCGAGTAGCATGTGGTGCGCTCTATGCCAAGGACGGACAGGCGGTCTGTCTCAGCGGGCGTGCACGTGGCGGCTCGCCGCCACGTGCGCTCAGAGTGGGTCGAGCCGCGGGCATGCGAGGACCTTAGTCCGCCAGGCGTGCCAGGGAGGATCGCCGCGCGCTGGCTCAACCTCTGGCAGGGGGTGGTCGTCGTGACGGTCTACATGGTCACGAGTGCGGGGTGGAGCGAGGCGAATGTGCACTGGATGAAGCGCCTGGCGCGACTGTTGTGCGCACTGGAGGTCCCGCGGATCGTCGGCCTGGGCGCCAACATGGCCATAGACGACTTTAGGGAGTGCGAGGTAGTCGCGCGGCTGGGCGCCAGGCTATCGCTCCTATGGGAGGCACGTCCAGGACGCGGGACGAGTGGTCCACCATCGACTGCTTCCTGGTGGACCGGCGGCTGGAGCCTCAGGTCCTTGGCGTCAAGGTGATGGAGGGGTGGACTTCGCGCCCGCGCAAGCCAATGCGGTTGCGCCTCCACGCGAAGCCTGTGG